GCAAATGAGAAGGGAGCACTCACTGGAGAAGACCCTGATGCTGGGAAAGATTGAAGGTCAAAGAAGACGGGGACGGCAAAGGATGAGATGGTTAGACAGTGTCATCGATGCAACGAACATGAAATTGAGCCAACTTCAGAGGACGGCGGAAGACAGGAGGGCCTGGCGGGATCTGGTCCATGGGGTCACAAAGAGTCGGACTCGACTGTGCAACTGAACAACAACATATACTGGAAGATGCTGAGCTGCAGTTCTTCTGTATTTGTGAAATCTTGAGACGACACCTTAGGAGTGCCAAATGAGCTCAAAACACCTTCTGAAATTGCAGCCACTTAAAAAGCTGTTTCACAGGACAACACATGTTATTATGGCTGATGGCGTAACGAAGCATGCACAAGGATCACCAAAAGATACTGATGCTAGGTGCACTATTATGGAAAAATTACTCAAACTCTTCCCCTCCAGAAACATCAAACTAGTAAAAATATCAAAAACAGACATACACTGGATGACATGTGTTTTGGCACATCAGAAAATCGCTCCAGTTATCAGCCTCTGAACAGCTTGCTTCAGCAGCTGGCAATTTATTTTTACATGGTTAGTTTTGTCACCATTACACCCATTTGTAATTGCTGCTGTTTTGGATCTCCTTGACATCTCTGGAGATGAGAAAATTCAGCACTGGCTTAGCAATAATGCTGTCATGGTGTAACAGTGTTAATCAGCTCAAATGGGGGCAAAATGACAAAGGTCCAGCAACAGTTGTCCGCCAATATCAGTGAACCAAAAAAAGAAAGCAGCTTTGTGATCATACCGTAATGCCAAACCACAGCAACTGGTCTGGCCAGCCACAGCAATTAGTGGCCCTTCCAAAAGTCTGGACCTAACATAAGAAAGTACCACGGCATGAATGAAGGAGGGTGTCCAACGGTACCAAGCAATGCAAAAAGGTGCCAGGCTGCATCATGAAGTGGCATAGTGGTGAAGTCCATAAATTGTATTCAGAATGTCCGAGATTCAATTGATGGCATCTCTAGTTAAAAGATTGCAGTAGGGGTGGAAGTCAGTCAGTAGAATGCTGGTAAGAAAGAGGCTGGACTGATACATCCCAAGAGTGCCCCTCCCCCAAGAGAGATGGTACCAGTAAGAAATATAAGGTATTTTCACCTTGGATCTCCAGTAGCAGGCATTGAGAGAGACCCTTCTTTCCCTTCATCATTCAACGGTGCACAGTACTGAGCTAAACGGACCAATGATCTGACTCAGCATCAGTCAGCTTTAAATGTTCTGATACAGATGGATGCTCCTATGCCACTTAAAAGCACTGTTCGAAGGGGCCCCAGTTAATTATCCCATGATAAATGGCACACACGACCACCTTTTCTGCCAGATATATTAATTGCTACCACTGCCTGCTTCTATATTTACAATAACTAATACAAATTGGCAGGGGTCGTTTCGTAGAAAAAGAGCTAGGGGAACTCATTAGCATAACTCATTAGCATATGCCACACCCCCTGACATCACCGGAAGTGTGTCATAAGGCCACACCCCGACATCACCGGAAATGTGTCATAAGGCCACCACCACCCCTGCCCCCAACGGTCCCGGCCGCCCATGAGGGGCCCGGCTGTGGACCTGCAAGGCCGGCGGGAGTGCAAGGAAGCCCCGCGAAGGCCCTCCCTGGCCCCAGGCAGGCAGGGGTGGGGAGAGGCAGGGAGGAAGCAACTTACCCTCCCTCTTCTCCTGCCTCCTCCTGGCTGAATGAGGGCCGGAAGCGGGGCAGCCGGAAGCAGGGGGCGGGGCTTCGTCATGTGCCCCGCCCCACGTACCTCACCAGAGGGAACTGCGATCCCCCGTGACCCCCCCCCGAAATGACCTCTGCAAATTGGAATAATCAAATGGAAACATGTGCTGTCTGACAATAAAATTCACCCTTTTTACCGTCCGATGATGTGAAGCACAAAACAGTAGTTTAGCACCAAAGCAAGTATGAGAATGATTAATTGCATCTATGGTTACCTGTAAAGTTGTTTTGTACATGGCCGGTGACTTATAAATGCACTTGACCAGGTCAGTCAGCACTTTTGTGTGTGGATTTAATATTTACAAAGGGGTAGCCATGTTAGAGGGGCTGCAGTGGCTCAGAGGTTAGGACACTGAGCTGCAGACCAGAAAGTCGGTAGTTCAGCAGTTCAAGACCCGAGTGCTGCATGACGGAGTGAGCTCCCGTCTCTGACCCCAGCTCCTGCCAACCTAGCGGTTTGAAAGCAAGAAATTACAAGTAGATAAATAGGTACCACTTCAGTAGGAAGGTAAGAGCGTTCCGTGTGCCTCGGCATTTAGTCATGCCGGCCACATGACCATGGAAACATCTTCAGACAGCGCTGGCTCTTCAGCTTGGAAATGGAGATGAGCACCACCCCCTAGAGTCGGATTCGACTAGCTTTTGAGCAAGGGAAACCTTTACCTTTAGCCATGTTAGCCTGCTTTACTCAAATGATACAAGAACCCAGGGGTGCCCTGAAGACTAACAATATCTATTTCAATACCAGCTTTCCTGAGTCACAGCTCACTTCTTCAGATATATTGAAATAAATGTTGTTAGTCTTTAGGGTGCCATTGGACTCTTGTTGGACGTAATATACCAGACAGCAACTGGCGATCCAGGTGCTAAGTTCACAGGTAAATAGAGTGAGTCATGTGATAAGTGTATTCATAAGTGACAGGGAACATATCAAATGTATATATGAGCAAACATTTTATCAGGAACCATTACTGCTTTAATCCCAGGGAGTTGCACTAAATATGTTCTGAAAGTCTAGGACCATCTGTAAAATTAGGGGGAGGGACAGTCCTACCTTCAAAGGTCTCATTCTTCCTCTCTGGATTAATTCATCTGTGTTCCCTTTCTTCATGGGTCCAGTTCACATGATGTACCAGCTGCATGACAAGTGACCCGTACCCTTGCGGGGAAATTAGGCTGGATCTACACATGCTAACATAGGCTGGATCTACACATGCTAACATAGGCTGGATCTACACATGCTTTCACTGACTGAAGCCAATTTCATCAGGTACAAGAACTGAATCCTCAGCAAAAACAAAAATCTTCAGCCTTCTAACTAGCTTTGTTCCAATCTCCTGCTTTTGATTTATCACCGTTAGGTATTGCTTCTACATTACAAACCAATTTTTGCAACTGTTCAGCTATTTTTCTGGTTTGCCTGCTGTGTAATTACTTTATCTGAGCTAATATTGTGTTTTCAGCTTTTTGCCTTTTGTTTTAGAATTATCGCTTTAAACTGCTGGTCTGACCGATTGGTTACATGTAAAATCAAGTTGAACCAATCGGTCAGACCAGCAGTTTAAAGCGATAATTCTAAAACAAAAGGCACGCCAAGGCGCATGGAACTCTGTTACCTTCCCACTGAAGCGGTACCTATTTATCTACTTGGAATTTCTTGCTTTCGAACTTTACCTTTATAAAAGGCATACATGGGTATAAAAGGAAAAGAATTTGTGTTCCAAAATAGCAGTCAAACAGTGGAATTAAGAGCAGCAGTCGACTGTGTTTTGTAATATCTCAGTTGTCATTGCCTTTAGAATGCTAAGGCATGGCAGGGCCCAACCATCTCCAAGAGGAGATTGGGTATATTTTACCAGACCCTGGATGCCAGAATGCCAGCCCCATGATAAGGCCATATGAGATCCTTAGTGTTTCCCCTTGCTTCTTCCTCAGAGCAAAGAGCTGGCTTTCTTCTGCCTCCTCAGAGCAGGAAGTGCTTCAGATGATCCTATAGGTATCTGCAGGGCGTGCATATTTGCAAACAGCTGCCCCCAAGATGGATGCTTGGCTGAACCCTAATCTTTTGAAAAGCCTGGCTGCAAACTTTAGGAGTTGGAGCCAGCGCTCATGACAGCCATTGTGTGATTTGTGCCACACACACCACATGGCAGCCATTTCGTTTGGTGCCCATAACCTGTTCTCAAAATTCCAAGTGCCCTCAGGTTCAACAACAGTAAACGTCTAGGTTGCTGCTGTGACCTACGGATAGCATTGCATAAATAGAACTGTTGTGTGGGGGTTTTTTTTCTTTTCAGACTCATGAAGCATATTACATTTTGAACAGGGAGATGTTTGTTTCTGGGAGGAGGGCAAAAAAGGGGGTGCTTGTGGTTGCCATTAAGCCCCCTCCCCCATTTCCTACCATAACTGCACTGTCCAAGAGGCCTTGTATGGCCAGCGCCATTTCTACGCAAAGGGTCAGCTCTTCGCAACCGCGGCGCTCATAACGTGAACGGAGCCACTGTGACCTACAGAACAGCTGTGGCCTTTTTAAAGGCACCTTAGTGGAAGCAAGACTCAAGGGCTGCAATCCTAGGCGCGCTCACCTGGAGCAGCAAGCCCCCACTGCACACACCCTGCCCCTAAGCTGAGTTAGTGTGAGCCAACTCACAGTTTTTTAGCCTCCAGCTCACACATTTTTGTCTTAGCACAGGAAGGAGGGCTCCAGAGCAAACTAACTGATGCAGTAGCCAAATCGCTCGTTCACAACTTTAATGCCAGTAGCTCACAAAGTAGAATTTTTGCTCACAAGACTCCACAGCTGAGTTTGTCTTAATGAGCCACAAGTAGTGTTCTCTCTAAGCTGAGTTAGTGTGAGCTAGCTCACAGTTTTTTAGCCTCCAGCTCACACATTTTTGTCTTGGCTCTGGAAGGAGGGCTCCAGAGCAAACTAACTGATGCAGTAGCCAAATCGCTCGCTCACAACTTTAATGCCGGTAGCTCACAAAGTAGAATTTTTGCTCACAAGACTCCACAGCTTAGAGGGAACGTTGCAGGAGTCCCGAGTAAGCACCATGTCTATGCGGCCGCCCATGCCTTGTGATGTGACGAAGCGCGGGCGGCCCTTGACTGTAACCGGGAGTAGCGCTCCGATGTGGGAGGGCGAAGGCGGGAGGCGGCGCGAAGCTCCTCCTTCCCTTTAGCTCGGTTTCCCCTCGCCGTGGCCGATCCTCCCCTCGGCAGACCTGGATCGCGGCAGACGCCTGGCTTGCATCTACGCCTCGACCGCATCCCCCGCGTTCCCACGACGACCACCGGACCTGGCGGCAGGGAAGACGCAGGTATGGGACTGGCAAGGGAGCTGGGTGGCGGGAGCTTTGGGAGGTGGGGAATGGCGGAGGAGAAGAGAGGGCACGGGGACTGAGATGGAGATGGCGCAGAATTTGGCAGGGAGGCTGCTTTCCTGCGTAGGTTTCGTTGAGGCGGCCGTTTGGACTCGGGCTTTTGGAGCAACGGAAGATCTGGGGAGGGAGAAGTGATGCTCCACAAGGAGAGAAATGACCGATCAGGGTCACCCGGGACAGAAAGCTTGGGGGTGGCTGCCCCTCTGTTGCCAGGACGCTGTTAACATAACGCTCAGCATTTATGGAGTGCTTCCTGCGGTCGAAGCCCCTCGCCCACAAGATCGTGTTGCAGTCCTTAACAACTGCTCAGCAGGGCGGGTGGGTCGATATGATTACCTTCATATCAGCGGAGAGAGGGGATGCTGAAGAAAGTGCCTTGGATTGGATTGGAATAACTCTAGGTAGGATGTTGCCTTTAGTTTGTGGGAGAAGGAAATTTTGAACTGGGGCCCTTCCACAGATCATTCTCATAGTTTCTACACCATTGCTAAGAGAGGCTCCCTGGCCTACAAGCTCCATGAATCTATGGAAAAGCATAACCGTAGATCTTGGTCTAGACGGGTAGCTGAATTTGTCTTTCTGTAGCAACAGAAAAGAGCAAGAGTCCAATAGCACATTGAAAACTAACAAAATATGTGGCAGGCAATGTTCCCTCTAAGCCGTGGAGTCTTGTGAGCAAAAATTCTACTTTGTGAGCTCCTGTCATTAAACCTGAAGAGTTGATGATGTTTGTGCTCTGACTCTAGGGAATATAAATTTCTGTGGGCATCACCATCCTGAACCTTCCTTCAGATTGATTCCGGTGGGGTAGCCGTGTTGGTCTGAAGCAGCAGAACCAGAGCCAGTTTGGTGTAGTGGTTAAGTGTGCGGACTCTAATCTGGGAGAACGGGGTTTGATTCCCCACGCCTCCACTTGCACCTGCTTATGTGACCTTGGGTCAGTCACAAACTGTGGCACAGCTGTCCTTGAAAAAAGAGCAGTTTGTGCCAGAGTTCTCTCAGCCCCACCCACCTCACAGGGTGTCTGTTGTGGGGAGGGGAAGGGAAAGGAGTTTGTAAGCCGCTCTGAGACTCCCTTGGGTAGTGAAGGGCGGGGTATAAATCCAATCTCTTCTTCTTCTTCTTCTTAGAGGGAACACGTGGCAGGGTATGAGCTTTTGTGAGTTGCTGCTGACTCCTTCAGATCTTGAGAACACCCTTTTGTAGAGCTAGATGCTGCAAAATGTTAAGATCTGGCATACAAAGGAAATAGGACAAATCAGGCTTCTAATAGATCAGGTGTATGGACTGCTCGTGGAGAAGCTTAGCCACTGTCTTCCCCCTCCCCCCAAAAATGCATGTTCAGCTGATTCCTGCCCCATAGAAGAAAAGATGGTCAGGATTTTGCCTTGAATTCCCATAATTATTGAAATATTTCTACCCTGCCCCCTTAGTTGAAAAGTCCCCAAAGCAACTTGAAATACTTAAAATATTAAAAAAGCAATGTCGAAACTGAAACATTTCGTAGCCATATAACATTTCTCGTGAGAGTAATGGCACTGCTTATGACAAAAAGGAAGCTCAAGAATAGCATCAGTAATTTAAAAAGAGACTTAAATGTCTCATCCTGTTGACCCAGGTAGTAATGTTCTCTACTCGTTAACATAATTGGTCCTTTTTTACATCTATGGCAGAGTACCTCCTTGGGGATAGCATGCAAATGATCACATCTGCCATTTTGTTTTGGGTTTTTTTAAGGCAAGCAGTCTTGCCTTCATTCAGACATTCCTGCCCTGCTTTTGAGAATTACGTAACAGCCTTTGATGCCATAGTGCCCTGTGGGTGCCACCTGTTCTCAGTACATCTTGTCCCTCAGCAAAGAAAAGCAGGGTAAGGGACGCGGATTGGGGACGGCCGTGTTGCAACTTGAAATCTCTTGAAGAAGGAACGATCACGTAACCCTACAGGGTGGGCTGGCTGCCCTCAAAAGCCCCCATCACAATAAACCAGCTTGTGTTAATGGTGCCACGGTATTCTTTGTTACATATCATGTGGGCACTCTGGATCATAACAGAGATTTGCATCTGTATAGGCATAGGAAACATATAGCTCTATACACACACAGGAGCTTTCATTGCCCTGGGTATGACCAGCCAGCCCAAGCAGCAGCTGCACCGTTCAAAAGAAAAACGCATCGTTCCCAGCCAGAAGCTGAGTGTATTATATAACACGTCCATAGCAACCTGGTGTAGGAGATGGAGTCCTCCCCCCTCCCAGTCTGCTAACACATGATGCTTCCCCTGAGAACCCCTCCCTCTCCACTCTGCTAGAGCTCTCTCACTCTAGTGCTCCCTGTCTGGTGATCACAAATCCACTGCATTTGAAATAGGGTCAAAAGCATTAATCAGATCGATCCATTTGGTCTGTGTACGAAAGAGCTAGAATTCTCTCTGGTAAGGGTGTGTGTGCATTTTCTGCTTGTCATCCTAGAGGGCCCCTGGTGGTCACAGTCCTGAGCTAGCAGGACCAGCAGCCTGACTCAGGGATACAGTAGCTTTATATGGCCCATCGGAACTGTCCAGTTTGACGGTGTTTGGAGGTGTTTCTGTGCATGATCTCTGTGCATCTCTTGAGTCTCCAAGGAATGGATAATTGCTTTCTTAACTGACCAGTCTGGTCACAAGCTGTAATTGATTGGTTGGTACAGTTGATCAATAATGCTTTAAACGTGGATTAAAATGTGCCACAGCATTCCCGATTGAGGCTGGTGAGCAAAGGAGCTGAGGAATCCCACTGTACAAGCCATACAGACCTACAGGCTCCTTTCTCTCTTGATTCCAAAGGAGCAATAGGTGGCTGCGTGTTTTTTTCAATGATGGCATGTGGGTTATTTGCATACAGGATGGAAATATTATGCCCCCCCCTGAAAACTAAGAGCCCTTCCAAGGTGACAGCATTTCACTGAAATCTATTTTCGCACAGCTTTTTAACCTTGATTTTTCACAGTACCGATGGGCTTATGTATCCCTTACTACATTTGAGATTCACTGTTATATCTAATTCAGGGATACTCATTCAGTGGCTTGGGGGCCACCTGTGGCTCTTCTGAGCACTGTGCCCCAATGTGATGCCTTCCTATTTTTCAGAAACATCGGCAAGGCCCGTGCTTGATAGGGCTTGTGGTTGATAGATGGTTTCCACTTTGAGTCAGCTGCTGCCAGCAGCAGCAGGGGGGCAACCCGCCTTCGTTGGCCCCTTTCGCGCCCCCCATACAGCTGGGAGCAGCAATGCCGGTTAGCTGGGAGAGCTGTGCAGGGCGGAGCCGTGCAAGAAGGAGGGCGGAGCTTGGCAGGGGGGCCGCTGGAGGCCAGAGCAGCGCAGAGTCCCCAGAGGAGCACACCTTTCTCCCTCCTCACTTCCTTCCCCCTCCCTCCCCCCTCTCCCCTCCCCTCCTTCCCTCCTTCCTGATGGTGCTGCTGCGGCGAAGGCTAAGCAAGCTGGTGGGAAGGAAGGAGCACGTTGTGGGCGCCCAGAAAGCCTTGCTGCACCCCTGGGAGGTCTGCACCCTAGGCCAGATACTAGTAGGCCTAGTGAGAGAGCCTAAAGCATCCCTGACAAGTGTTTGTCCAGCTGCTGCTTGAAGACTGTCAGTGAGAAGTAGCTCACCACCTCCCTAGGCAGCCAGTTCCACTGCTGAACTACTCTTACTGTAATAAAAAATCTTCCTAATATCCAGCCAGTACTTTCTGCCTGTAATTTAAACCCACTGTTGCAGGTCTTATCCTCTGCTGCCAAAAGCTCCCTGCCCTCCTAAGTGACAACACAAGAGAGAGGGGTGAAAACCGTGAACAAATAAATTTAATAATGAACTTTAAAATAAACTGTAAATAATACACAATCCCCTCCAGAATATGAACAATATCCTATAAGAGGTTCTTGCCATTGCCACAACAGGAGGATTCATCTGAAGGGGGCTGAGATTTATTACTTCAGCCCAGCATAAGAACTCTTGTTTACATTTTCTTTCTTCGAGAGACATTCAATATTGATGCCAACTTTGGATATTGTTTATATTAGGGATTGGATTGTGTATTACATGTGTGTAATAAATGTGTATGTAATTGGATAATAATAGACTCACAAATTGCTGTATTTTAATTTATTTACAGTTTATTTTAAAATTCATTATTTATTATATTTATTTGCTCACAGATTTCACCACTGTCTCTTGTATTGATATTTGCCATGATCCCAGTTGTTGTTTTACTCCTCTTAGTGACAGCTCTTCAAATACTTCAAGAGAGCAAATACTTCAAGAGAGCAATCATGTTCCCCTTCAACCTCCTGTTCTTCAGACTAAACATTCCCAAACCACTCAGCCTTTCCTTGTAAGGCTTGGTCTCCAGGCCCCTAATCATCCTCATCACTGTCCTCTGCACCCACTCCATTCTGTCCACAGCCTTTTTGAAGTGAGGCCTCCAGAACTGCACACAGTATTCCAGGTGCGACTGGACCAATGCATTGTGCCTATGACATCTTGTGACGTGGATGTTATGCCTCTATTGATAGTGAGGTGCAGGCCTAGGGTTGCCAGGTCCTACCTGGTTGCTGGCAGAGGGACTCCCAATCCTTCCTGCAGGTCTTCTGGTTCACGCACACGCTGCAGTGACATCACCCAGAAGTGATGTCATTGCGTTTCTACTGTTGGGGGTGATACTGTAGGTTTGGGCAAAACTCTATGGTTTTTTGTGCCTCAAAACCATAGAGTTTTGCCTAAAACCTAGAGCGTCACCCCCGATGTCAGAAACCCAATGATGTCACTCCCAGGTGATGTCATCGCACCGGCGACACTGGGAGGGGGCTTCTCGGGGGTGGGGCTTCCACTGCCGACCAACTGGGCCAAGGTAGATTGGGTCCCCAAAATCGGGGGATTCTCTGGCCCCACCAGGGGAATGGCA